GCCACCTTAGGTGTATGTGGCTGGCGCCTTAGCCACTTGAGCCCCAGGCGCTGAGCCAAGAGGATCTCTTGAGCACAAGAGTGTGAGGTTGCTGTGAGCTGTGACGACTCAGCACTCTACTGACGGCGACATATTGAGACTCTGCCTCAAAACCAAAAATTGTGCCCATTATCAAAGATGTGATGACTCAGGCATTGGAGCTCACCCAGGGTTGCTCTGTAGTGACATTCTTACCTCCTTGCGATTTATTTTCAGATACTGAAAATGAATGAGAGAAAAGTGGAGGTCTATGGGGTGCACAGGCCAACTTCAATGGGAGTCAGAAATACCAGAACTGCCCCTTCCTACCCTGTGACTTTGATTACTGAACCTCCAGCCTCTATTTCCTATCTTGATAAGGGGGCTGATAATAAGATGGTTGGGGGAATTAAATGATGGAAGTGCAGTACCTACCATAGGACTCTTCCTTTCTTGACTCCTTTAAGCCACCACCTACACCCTGCTAGGATGACTTTTCAAGCCAATGGGAGGTTTCAGGGCCTTCCTCATTCAGCTCTGCTTTTCTAAGGCACATCCCACTGACATCATCATCCACCTTTGCCTCCACTGATTGGCCCCATCCCAGCTCCTGCATACCAGACTGACATTTGTTGTTTTTGTCAGCTCAACATCCCTTTTTCTGTTGGGGAACTGACTCCTCCCATCACATGTGGTTCTGGAGGGGCTGCCCCTCACCCCAAAGGGGGGTGGGAGGCAGGGAGTGGGTACAAAGAACTAGATTACAATATTTACATTTGTTAGGTAGAGTTCCTTTTGTAGTTGTCTTGCACCCAAAATGTGTGCCATATACCATAGCTTAGATCAGGCGTCCTCAAACTATGGCCCTTGGGTCACACGTGGCCCGCCAAGGACATTTATCCAGCCTGCTGGGTGTTTTTGAGGCTGATGCCTGTCGTGCTTAGCAGTGGACTCGTCCTGGGGCCCCCAGTCTGGACCTCCAACAGTCTGTTTAAAAAGTTTGAGGACCCCTGGCTTAGATTGTGCCCATTAAGTGGGAGCACACCAGTTCTCTGTCTTCCTTCCCTTTCCTCTATTCCTTGTTTCCCCTCCCCTCAACTTGAATTGAATTTTTTTCTCTTATGTGGGTATTACATCGTCTACTGGCTTCATATTAGTATTAATATTTATATTAGATCTGCCTCTGAACAACTAGAAGTTGAGTTAGTTCCCACTGGCCCCTCTTTTTTTTTTTTTTGGCACTGTAAGCATTTATTAGATCATAATTGCATACATTAATTCTCTCATAGGATACAGTGTGTTACTGGCCCCTCTTCTTGCAAAATCCAAAATTTTTTCCTTTCCTTTATTATACTTTACTAAGAAGAATGTGTTTCAACTCCATCCAGGTTAATGGAAAAGATGTAAAGTCTCCATCTTTATGGCTGAATAGTATTCTGTGGTATATATATACCACAGTTTGTTAATCCATTCCAAGGTTGGTGGGCACTTAGGTTGTTTCCACATCTTGGCAATTGTAAATTGAGCTGCAGTAAACAATTTAGTGCAAATGTCCTCAAGGTAAAATTATTTTTTTCTTCTGGGTAGATGCCTAGTAATGAGATTGCGGGATCAAATGGAAGATCTAATTTGAGTTCTTTGAGGATTCTCCATACTTCTTTCCAAAGAGGCTCCCATCAACAGTGTAAAAGTGTTCCCCTTTCTCCACATACTGCCAGGATAGTGTTTGTTTAGTCTTTTAGTGTAGGGGGAGCGGCAGATGTACTCATTTGTGCTAATTCTGTAGTTTTTTCGTTTTTTTGTTTGTTTGTTTGTTTGTTTGTTGCAGTTTTTAGCTGAGGCTGGGTTTGAACCTGCTACCTCTGGCATATGGGGCCAGGGCCTTACTCCTTTGAGCCACAGGCGCCACCCTGATTCTGTAGTTTTTATTGGCCAATGTTGAGGCCTGGTTAAAAGGAGGGCTTGGAGGAACCTGGCTAGAGTTTGTTCAAGGAGAGAATATTTAGGCCCAGTGTGGTGGCTCACGCCTGTAATCCTAGCACTCTGGGAGGTCGAGGTAGGTGGATTGCCCGAGCTCAGGAGTTCGGGACCAGGCTGAGCCAGAGTGAGACCTTGTCTCTAAAAATAGCCAGGCCTTGTGGCAGGTGCTTGTAGTCCCAGATACTTGAGAGGCTGAGGCAAGAGAATTGCTTAAGCCCAAGTGTTTGAGGTTGCTGTGAGCTATGACACCTTGCCACTCTACTGAGGGTGACAAAGTGAGACTCTTGTCTCAAAAGAAAAAAAAAGGAGAGAATCTTTGCACTAGACACTGGGCACACACCTGCCTGGCGTCTACTCTCCCTTGATCTGGTGCCATTATTTGGACTATTCTTTGTGGAAGATCCCTCCTCCATTGGGAGCAGCCTTGATGGCACCATCAGAGTGCTCAGACCTCCACAGCCCCCAAGCTGGCCAGTCTCTCCTGGAATCCAGAACTCTGAATCTTGAGTGCAGGGCCATAGGAAGGAAAGGAGCTGGGAAGGATTCATCACTCTGATGGCAGTGCCCTAAAGAGACTGGCTGTGGGCTCCTGAGAGCTAGTTCCCCAAGTCACCACGGTGTGTCTCCCTCCTAAGCCTGATAGACCAGTTTGTTCTTTGGTTTTGTGAGCCCTGCCACATCCTGACCTCCAGAGTGGGTTTTCGTTGCCTGTACCCTAATTGGTCCAGAGCAAGACTGATCCCTGCCTTGAGAGGGCTCACATCTTACTGAGCAAAGACATGAAATAAGTTGATTACAGTTTGGAGGGGGGGCCAATAGGACAGGCAGGAAGCTGAGGTCATCTCAGGTGCTCAGGTTTTCTCACAGTAGAGAGGGTGACCTCAGATGACTATAGTTTGGTGACCCCAGCTATTCACAACCTTCTTGCTCAAGGATTGCATCCTTTGAGCATCTTTAGCCTGACATCAGGCTTCACATAGAGATTTGTACTGATTCTAGTTCTCAGTGGGATCACATTTCTTATGGAGACTCAATAAAATGGCTTTCTTGTTTAGACATTAGTCTACTTTTGGAGAGGTGGGTCATGTCTGAGGGCACTAAGTGGCAAAATATAATTTCTTACCTTCTGAAACAGAGGATTGGATCCTGGGCAACAGAGATTTTCCAAAGCCCTCCTGATGTGGTTTAAATGTGTCCCTTCTAAAATTCACTTGTTGAAACTTAATCCCCATTGTAGTGGTATTAAGACATGAGATCTTTCACCCTAATGATGGATTATAGCCTTATGAAAGGGAGGGAGGGAATTAGCTTGGGCACTTTGCCTATTCCACTCTTCCTTTCTGCTAGCAAGGACACAGTGATTGTCCCCCTCTCCCCCCTCCATCCCTCTTGGGATGCTGGGACACAGTCTTCTCTCTTGGAGGATGCTGCAACAAGGCACCATCTTGGAAGCAGAGAACAGCCCTCATCATACACCCCAATCCTGATAGCACCTTGATCAGAACATCCAGCTTCAAGAACTGTGAGAAATAAGTTGCTGTTTTTCATAAGTTACTTATTTCCAAGTATTTTGTTATAGCAGCACAAACAAGCTAAGATAATTCCCTGCTTTCCATTCATCTGACAATTATTTTTTTGTTTTTGTTTTCCTAACCCCTAGACTACCAGGGAATCTGGCAATTTTTTTTTTTTTTTGGTCGAGACAGAGTCCCACCCTGTGCCCCTGAGCAGAGTGCAGAGGCTTGGTAGTTCACTGCAACCTCTGACCCGCTGCCTCAGCCTCTGGAAGCTGCTGGGATTACAGGCGCTCACTGTGGTGCCAGCTGGGTTTTTCCATTTTTTTCGTGAGTCGGGGTCTCACTTTTGTTCAGGGGAGTCTTGAACTCCTGAGCTCCAGCAATTTTCCCTCCTCAGCCTCCCACAGTGCTGGGATTACAGGCGTGAGCCACTGTGTCCAGTGGCAATTTATTTTTTTAATTTTTATTTTTTAGAGACAGAGTCTTGCTATACTGCACAGGCTGGCATGCAGTGGCTATTCTCAAGTGTCATCATAGCTCACTGCAACCTTGAACTTCTGGCCTCTAGTGATTCTCCTGTATCACC